CTCCCCCTCCCCCTTCCCCCCCCCCCCCCCCCTTTTTTTTTTTATCTTCTTCTGGCCGCTGCCATCCCGCTGACGAAGAAAAACGCACGGCCTTCCTTCTCTCAGTGACGCGGCGGGAAGCGCGCCCTCGTTCGGGGACCGCAAATGCTACCAGCTCCCGCCGGCCGCCAAAGGCCTCGCCCGACGCGCCATCGTAAGAAAGCCCTTTTCTTCCTCCCCCCTTCCCTTCCCTTCCCTTTCCCCCTCCCGTACCCCGCACCCCGCTCACACCTCTTCCCCCCCTTTCCACCAGCTCCGCGACACCTCGGAAGGCGCGGACATCATCATGGTCAAGCCCGCGCTGCCCTACCTCGACATCATCCAAGACGCGGCCGAGCTCGCGCCGGACCACCCGCTCGCGTGCTACCAGGTGAGCGGCGAGTACGCGATGATCTACGCCGGCGCGCGCGCGGGCGTGTACGACCTCCGGACGATGGCGTTCGAGACGTGCGAGAGCATGCTCCGCGCAGGTGAGCACCCCCCCCCTCCCTCCCGCCTTGGGGTTTTTTTTTCTTCTCTCTCTCTCTCTCTGGCGTCCGAGCGGCTGATGAGTACGTAGGGTGCACGCTGATCCTCACGTACTTCACTCCCCAGTTCCTGGACTGGCTGGACGAGTAGAACAAAAAAAAGGGAAGAAAAAAAAAGTAAGAAGGTTTACTGTTATAGAGCCCTGAACTTGAAACTATCCTGTATGTAGAGTACCGTAGCACACCCCGTGCTCTTGACTTATCCTCGCCCACGCTCTACACGCCCTTCGCGCGACGACGAGGCCAACGAACGACGGAATTTCTAAGAGAAACATTACATTGTGCACCAGACCGTTCGAGTCACCGCATATATTCTAAGAAAAAAAAAAGAACCGTCGTAGCTAAGTTATATATTGCCCCCCCCCCCCCTCCCTTCCATGCAAGGCGTTGCGAGTCGTGATGGAAAAAAAAGAAGGAGAAGAAGAAAGAAAACGTCCACGTGCAGATATATGAGACTATAACGTGATAGCGGGAGGAGGATAAAACGATTGCTCCAAGGAGAGTATTGCCCACATCCGACGTTCGACGACGTTCGACGACGTATGTTTTCTTTTTCTTTTGCTTTCGTCAACGTCGCTTAGAGCTCCTGCCAACGTTTTCGATGAGGTAAGAAAAAGAAGGGTCGTATCTCACAAAACGCGAGCGAAAACGCACGATGAGGTTGAGGTTTCCGGACACGAGCCGGTTCTCGAGCACGCAGCCGTCGGGGATGTCGATCCGCTGGCCCTCGTTCGCGACGACGATGACGGTCCCGCGGAGGGTGACGTTCCTTCCAAAGTAGACGTCGCCGGTGACGGTCAGATGGTCGAGCTCGAGGATCTTCGGGATCTTCTTGAACCGCTTCTGGAACTGTTGGATCTGGGGGTGGTTCGGCAAGTCAGTGGCCCGTGTCAGCGAAAGGACGCGCCCCATCCGAGAAAGTTCCTCTACCTTCTTGAAGTGGTCGCCGAGCTTGATGACGGGCGTGGTCTCGAACATGCGCGCCTCGTTGAGGAGGAGCTGGCCGTGCTGGATCGAGTAAATATCGCTCTTGATGAGGAGCAGATCCGAGCAGCTCTTGACGGGCAAGAAGCGGCTGCGGGGCACGTTGACGCCGTGGGCGCCCCTAAAGTGCTTGATGGCGGCGCCGGCGGCCGTCTCGAGCTGGACGACGGCCTGGCCGTCGTCGTTCGTCTTGGGGTTGATGATGATCTCGAGCTCCATGCCCTCGTCCTCCATGATGCGCTTGAGCGCGCGGAGGTCGATCCAGATGTTGTTCGTGTTGAAGATCTTGAACTTGCGGACCGACTTGAAGTCCTCGACGTGCTCGGACGGCACCTGCGCGACCTCGAGCAGCCGGACCTGGCCCTCGTAGTCGATGAGCGTGCCGCCCTTGATGTCCGCCTTGGTCTTGTCGGTGACCTCCATCACGAACTCGGCGCCGGTGTCGATCATGTGCTGCAGGATCGCCTCGTCGACGACGGCGCCGAGGTTGTCCGAGTTGGAGACGAAGAGGTACTCCTTGCCCTCGGCGAGGAGCTGGTCGAGCACGCCCGAGTGGAGGAGGGCGTTGTAGAGGTCGCCGTGGCCGGGCGGGTACCAGTGCTTCTTGTCGTCGTCGGCCGACTTGGGGCAGGGCATGAGCGACTCCTTGAAGATGCGCGGGTAGCGCGACTGGTTGAAGGTCGTGATCCGCAGCTGCTGGTTCGCGTACTTTTTGATGATCCGGAGCGTGTCCTCGTGCGTGTTGAACGAGGTCATGAGCACGAGCGGGACGTCGACGTGGTGCGACGTGTTGAGGTGCTCGATCTGGCGCACGGTCAGGTCGAGGAAGGTCATGTCGTCCTTCACCTCCAGCGCCGACTTGGCGCCGGTCATGCCCATCGAGGTGCCCAGGCCGCCGTTGACTTTGAGCACGGCGAGCTTGTCGAGGTTCTTCGGGTTGGCCGAGGCGGAGAGCTGGGCGTAGGGCACGATCTGGTCCGCGCCGGGCGACTTGACGCGGTCCCAGTCGCTGGGAGGATCGTCGCGGCGTGAGCGGGAAAGGTGGACGCTGTGGACGAAATGCCCCCCCGGGGAGGGAGGCGGGGGGAGAGAGAAGGAAACTCACAGCTCTTGCGCGTTCGCGCGCTCGGAGAGGTAGCGGGTGAAGAGGTAGAAGAACGATTGCATCTCGGTGTCAAACGCCTGAAGGGGGCGGACGCAGCGTCAGCAGTGTGTGAGCCATGTCGGGTAACGCATGCGGTGTGATCTGACCTTCTTCGTCTGCGGGTCCTCGACGGTGCTGACGAGCTTGCTGAGCTCGTTGCGCATCGCCTTGGCGGCGACGCCGGTGGTGGCGGTCTTGAAGTCGACATGGCTGCTGCCGCGGACGCGGGCGTTGAACGAGTCGCTGCGGGGCATGAGCGACGAAGACATTTTCGGCGCGGATCTGTGCGAGAGAGAGAGAGATCGGTCCATCAGTTATCCCGGCGTTCATGGTCAGAGATCGCAGGGAGATCGAACGGCGGGATCGGTGGGACGGACGAACTGACCGTTGAAGAAGGTGGATGTGGACGGGCTTGGTGGTGGTGGTGGAGATGAGCAGCTGTGGGGCGGACTGGGTGCGCGGGAGGGGCGCGCGCGGCCGGTGATGACGCTGATAAACCTCGTGCTCGACCTGGATCGATGACGACGTCGCAGGCGCGGGCGGCGGGGGCGGCGGCGGGGGCGGCGGCGGGGGCGGCTCCTCGCTGATGGGCTCGCAGACGGAGAACCGGAATGGGGCACGCGGCGAGGGGGGCGGCGGCGGGGGGTTGCGGTTGGGGTGGTGGTAGCTGGGGTGGGCGGCGGCGGGCAGCGGCTTTATACCGACCACCGCCAGGCCCGAACGTGCGTCCCGGTGCGGCATGCCCCACCCACTGCTGGGCCAGTGCCAGTCGTGTCAGCCGCCGGCGGGGCCAGTTCGGTCGTTTAAACTGTGTGTATCGATCGATGGGCGAAACGGGATTTTCGCCCTTGCCTCCCGGACGGGTCGCCATGCCCTTAAAATCCGCCTGCGCAACACGCAAACAGGGCAGCCCATCATTCTCAGATCTCCGCCCGTGCGCCACCCCGCCAATGGCGATATCAGCCCGAGGCTCTATCGCGCCACTACTACTTCTTCTCTTATCCCAACCACGAGCCCCGATTACGCGGAGAAGTGCCCCCCTTGCATCCGACTTGCCCGCGTTCGATGTGCTTTTACGAAGACGATGCGGCGAGCGAGGGGGGACGACGCTCAGGGACGAAGCACTTGGGAAGGGGGGCGCTCGCCATCGCCGCCGCGGGCCCGCCTTGACGGGATCCGTGTGCGCCGTGCCTCGTTCAGGGCGCCTTTCCCGGACGTGCCGCGCTCCCGCAGCGTCGGTCCCCCAAACGCGCCACACAGTCCAACGCAAGCCCGCGCGCCCGGGGGTACGTAACAAGTCAAAAAACCTTGCTCTGCGCTGATCTTGGGCGGCGCAGATCATACGCATTGCAGATCCATTTTTTCCACCGGCGACGATCCGAGTTCCCGCTGTGTTTCACGGGAGTCGTCCGTCCACTCTTTGAAAATTTGCCCTTGTACCAGGTCGGATGGACCCTGTGCCGGGAACATATCCACGTACCTACCTATATGCTCGGCGATGAGCATCCGAGGTAGGTAGGTGGGTGTATTCCAGGCGCTTGTTCTGTTTCAGACGCCGCAAAAATCCTCTCTCGTTACATCCCAAATCTGCTTCATTCGTATCTTTTTTCCGCGTGAGCGTGAGCGTTGTGCTCGATAACTGCGCAGGCTCGCTCGACCATGCGCGTTTTCTACTCCGAAACAGAACACCAAGACACCTCCCAATCAGCGCGAAACGAAGATCCCTATTCCAGGCCCAAGGAACCCGTCTCGGAGTCGGTAGGATGACGATCCCGACGGGACGCTCGTATAGTACGACGATGCTGCCGGCACGCAATTCTCTCCCTCCCATTCAAACAGCCCTGTGCCCAACAAACCACGAACCGAATCGCGGACAAAGCCGTCACGGTCCCATCGGCGCCAGCCGAGGCCTCTTTTGCAAAAATTTCCCCATTATACTCATGTGTACAATAGCAAGAGCGAGCGCGCGCACCCCCCCTCACGTCCGCAAGTTATATATATATATAAAATCAGAATATCAAAGAAACGTCCAAACCGCCACTAACGCGAACGTCCCCAGCGCCGGCCCCGCCACGTCCACCACGTCCCTCGCCCACTCGGTCACCCACCGCCCCCTCCTTCTCCGTCTACACCTCGGCGCAAGCACGTTCGTCCAGCACCGTGCCCCCCGCCGCGGTCTCCGCGATGGAGTAGCGGCAGCAGCAGAAGAAGAAGACGAAGACGACCACGGAACGGCGAGGGCAAGCGCGATCCGTCTCCGCACGTCCCACGACCAGCCCCCAAGCCGAAGCCGCAGTCCCCGTTCGTCGCCGACCCGGCGGAGCGGCCGGCCCCGGCCCCGATATCGGGCCCACCTCGGGTCCCCGCGCGCCGCAATGGGGAGAACCTCGGCCTTGCCTTCCCCCTCCTCCTCCTCCTCCTCCTCTTCGTCGTCTTCTTCATCGATCCGTTTAGACGTCCAACGGCGAACGCTCGCGAAAAGGAGCAGCAGCGCGAGCGAGAGCCCGACGAGCGGCGCGTAGCCGGATATGTAGAGCCCCAGCTGGTCCGGGAGGAGGCACGCCGCGTCCGCGGCGGGCGAGGACGGGGCGAGGGAAAGCACCTGGAACCCCGGCCGGCGCACGCCCATCGCCATCGAGAACGACTTGACCGTCGCCTCGCGCACCGTTTTCCCGTCTTCCTCGCTCCCCGGTATCGCGTACGGATGCGCGTGCTCGCAGTAGTCGTGGTCGTCCCCGCTGCATTTTTTTTTGGGGGGGGGCGTCAGCATTATTTATAAGTACACCCTCTTGCATAAAGTTCACGTTTCGTGGGGAAAGAAAGAAAGGGAAGGGGGGGAGGGGGTGGAAGGGGGGAAAACGGATTGAAAAAAAAAAATCATCATCGACAAAGTACCTGAAGACGACCTCGGGCCGGACGCGCGCGAGCAGCCACGCCGAGAGCTCCGCGCTGAGCGTGTTCTGGTACCCCAATCCGCTGCCCGCGCGGATCCGCCCCCGTTCGCGCAGCGGCCCGCACCCCGCGTCGTCGGGCCGGAAGAGCGGGATGTGCGTGAAGAGCACGGCGGGTCCGCCTGCTGCGTTATTCGTCAGCCTCAATAATAAAAAAATGGAAAAAAGGGGGGAGGTGGAGGAACCGCACTGTCGGCGTGGGCGCGCACGAACGCGAGCGTGCTTTCGGTCTCGGAGGACGACGCGGCCCAGGCGTCGATGCTGGCGCCCGCACGCCGTCGGCGCGCGTCCTCGTCTACGAGCCCTGGCGCGTCGATGAGGAGCAGCGTGTGGTTCGCGACGGACGCCTTCCGGTTGGTCGCGCCGAAGTGGAGCTTGTATCGCTCGAGGGCGTCCGGGGAGAATTCGGTCGACGTGCCGAGCCTAAAAGGTAACGGGTGAGACGGTGCGCGCGCGTGACGTTGTGATGAGAGGAGGGCCAGGCTGCACGGTGTGGGATAGCGGAGGAAATTATGAAGGAACGAAAAGCTCGCCTCACCCGACGTCGTGGTTCCCGGGCAGGTACCACACCGGCGTTGTCGATGGGTCGGCGCGGAATATGCTCTTGAACCGGGCGTAGTACCGTTCGTATCTGATTTTGCGCGCGAACGGTCAGAAACGTCGTCGGCTCGGGTTTTCTACCGAGTTCAGGGCGCTCACTCGTCCAGGGACATGTCAAACCTGCCGCCGTCCATCATATCGCCTTCAGGAAGCGAAACGATCAGTCAGAGAAAGATAGCAGACAGGGAGATGCAGCGCGCGTACCGAGGAAGACGATGCTGTCCGGCCGCAGACGGCGCGTCGTCGCCCACCACGCCTTGCGGAGCTGCATGTCGGTCATGTATTGGCTGACGGCGGTCAAGAACGCGCCACGATCGGGATAGGACCTATGGTCGAGGACCTGCGGGTCCGCGACGACCAAGATATGACTTGCTTCGCTGGGACTCAACTGCCGTGGGTTCAGTTAGACGCACGGGTTGGTGCCCGGATGAGCGGAGGGGCGCTTACGAGGGCATCGTCGGGCCACGAGCACGATCGAAGCTGGTAGATGTAGACGCCGAGCTCGAGCCAGAGGACGGCGAGGATCCAGAAGAGGCGGAGGGCGGCGACGAGCTGGGGCGGTTGAGAGAGGAGGTGGAAGGGGTTAAGCCTACGTGCCATGCCCGTCCATATCAAGGAGTGGATGTATGCTCGGGGTATACGCAGCCCAACGAAGCAGATATGTAAGATAGGCGACGTTCACAAGCGGGGTTCGCGAGGGGAGAGAGAGTGGAGAGAGCAGCCGTGGCGGGGAACGTACGTCTTCTTGAGACTTGGATATCGCGCTGAGGAAGCATCCCCCCTCACAACCTGCCACGATATATCACTCTCTCTTCGTCAAAGACGATGGCCTGCACTATATGGCCTCTGTCTACCGCGTATATCGCGATGGTTTCACAAGAGAGACGAAATACTGAATGATTTGGACAATGCCCGATGGCGTGCTGCGCAGGTTTTGGCTCGTCCGTGCTTGGAATTAGGCCAAGTTTCTCTCGTCAATCAAGCAGCATGAAATCTCAAAGACCGGCATGGGATCAAATTGGACGTGGTTGCTTATGAGCATTCGGAGGAAGTGCATCGGCTGGTCAAAATTCGGTCAATCACCTTACGCCCGCGACTACATCTCCCGGAGCCGGCGTTGCCCCGAAAGCTGCGAAAGCAGACTGATTGTAGGTGGTGGAAGATATGAAACCGCGGTGAGCTGCTGTGGGTTGGATCGCGGTGCGGCGATCTCCTCGCTCCATGATGTGCCAATGACATGCTGATGCTCATTGTGATGTCGTGTTCAGGATATGGAGGGTGTTCCTCCCCACTGGTCGGAGGCAACATGTCTCCGCTGCCTCGATGCTCGCTAGAATCACCGGTGGTTTCCAAATGGCTCCAGCACGTTACACCGCTGTCAACGCGTCCAATGTCCATCGATCACGTTCTCACGCGCAGTGCGCACATAACCAAGGATGAAGGGCCGACGGGTACCCCGTACCTTGCGCGCGCCATGGCCTCGCATCTGTGAGCATTAGTCGCGTTGTTACATATGGACCATAGTAGATCTCTCATGACGCTGCGGTTGTCAGGCTCTCCGTCACCAATCTCGACTTCACGTCGGACACGGCGCAAATCTGCGTCCTGTTGGTCAGGGACGCTGGGCTCGCGCTCGAGGTCCCCGGTGCGAACATGAGCGACAACGTGCCGGTCGCACTCGCCAAAGTCAGCAATCAAGTCGAACAGACGGTGTGTCTAGGACCGCTTTGATGTTCTGACGCACCACTGATAGGTGATATCTTCCACAGTGGATCTTCTTCCGCGGCGTCAAGGGCCATTGCATCATGAACTACGGGACGGGGACATACCTCTGTGGAAGCAAGACCCGACCCGAGGACGTGCTAGTGTCCAGCAAGCTTCCAGAGGAATGGGACCTTGTTCGAAACGGTGATGGATACATGTCAGCGTCCCTCCGTTGTGCTCGAACGTCATTCTGATGTGTGTTTCCAGCTTGCGGTCTTCGAATGGAAGCATCCTCGTCGCTCTTGGAACGTCGGTCCTCGTAAGTCCTACCGTAGATGCGCCCAGCCCGCTCTCGTCTGACCGGTCACTCAGACACCTTCGCTCCGATCAGCGGGTGGTGACCATACGATATGGACGACGGCGGTCGCTTCCTCAATCCCAATCTCTAACGTCAGCCAACCCTTCACCACCTCTCCGCAGCGAGCGAACATCATGAACCACGTTAAGAACGCCCTCCAAGCCCTGGTACATAAACATGCGTTGCATGCCACAAATGCTGCTTCTGACGGTCTCGCAGGTGACTATAGTACATGTGCTTGAGCACCCCGAGAACGACCCGAGCCTTGAGGTCATGGACCTGGTATATACGGAACACGACGTCGCTGTCTTGGGTGCCCGCATCAGAGAGTGCGCCAAAGTGAGTCTCCACGCGCACAACTCCCGTGTGCTTTGAACCTGAACTGTCCCAGAACTTCTATTTCGCCAACGACACGGCGACCCGCTGGTTCACCGGCGTCGAGACCCAACTCCAAGCGATCGTCTCGGATAAGAAGAGGGCAGAGGACAGGCTGAAGACCATCGAAGTCGACCGCGCCGCGACGCAGACCCGGTGGAGTCACCTGCAGGACAAGGTGAAGGAATACGAGGGCATAGTGGCCAGTAGCCAACAAGCGGTGGACCAGTCGCAGAAGGATTACGATGCTGCGCAAGCGGAGTATCAGCGTGCCGTGGACGATATACGCGAGCAGCAAAGAGTGGACAGGAGGACCTGCGTCGGCGCGATTGCGAAGGGGGCACGCTCGAGGCACATGGGAGACATGCTCATGATGGGATACTTGACGAAGAGGGATCGGGCGAAGAGCCTCATGGCCGAGAAGAGAACGAAACTCGACGGGGACAAGCAGGCGCTAAACACCTTCCGAAAACAGCTGGACACCGAGAAGAAAAGCATGGAGAAGCTCCAGCTGCAGCTCGATGCCGTGCAGAGGGAGTCTTCTGCTATATCAGCGCGGATATCGCCTATGCAGCGCGAGCTCAACTTGCTTTCGACCCTCTCGGTATGTGACATTTCCGAGTTCCTGTAGCCTGATTCGGTAACAACTCCTGCGTCTGCATGCAGGCCAAAATCAACGATTGCGTGCACACCATGGACTACGTGCTTACGCGCGCAAATGCATTGGTGATCGCGGAGACCGTGTCTGACCTCAAAGTCAATATCCAGGAAGCGGCCGACCAACTCGGCGCAGACAAGGACACGATGAACGCATTGAGCGCTCTGGACGCCGATCGTCTTCGCAAGCTTGGCGATAGGGCTCGGACACTCAGCAAACAAATCAAAGACGGAAAGATTAGGAGCAAGCTTTAGCGTCCAGCTGCCCTAGCTTATCCTCGGAAACGCCTCAAAGAACCTGCAACTGGCGATAATGTGGAGATGGGATGTTCATCATCAGTAGAGCGCGTATGGCCATGGATGACGGTCTGACTAGCACCGATGTGTAATAGTTACACCAACGTGCCGTCTACATCACGTTTCTCCGTTTCAACCTTCCAGTAGTCCGTGAAATCGGTTACCAAATCAGAGGTAATCACGCCGTCAAGTCCGTCCTTGCGCGACGTGTGGACGGTTTTGTCGCAGAGCCCGATCTCTATAATCTCAGGTGTCATATTGGCTTTGAAAAAAAACGGACATTGATGGTGCATTCGGTTTATTGGCATTCAACCAATATCGACCGAAACACTGAGAATATATAGGAAGTAGGTAGGTGATCCAGCGCAGTCCCAATACCGGGATCGCCTTTCCAGAACCCTCGCCGCAGAGCTGGGACATCATGCATCGTGGTCTAGTACGGAGATACCGCGATGAATTCCTTAGAGATCTCGAGCCGCAGTGCAAGCGATTCCTTGATTTCTGGAAAGGCGGTCATCTTCTGGTGCCAACTGGAAGGACTTTGGAGGTCAGTCCCACGAGCGGCCTACAGCATCTGACTCACGCGTGCACTGCAGGGAAGTCTCGGGGCATGTTGAGCTCTATGTTGTGGTCTGGATCCAATCTTGCTAGAATACGATATACTGTGGTCAGAACACTACGAACAGATCGAGCAAAGAGAAGCCACTCATTCCACCTACAACATTGTTAACAGACCGTCACCGGACGCTGTTATACAGAATTATACATACATGACGAATGACGCGTCGGCGATGGTCATCTTTCCGCCAACTAGCCGATCTTGCTTGGACAGCACGCTTTCGAGAACGCCAAGGACACGAAGGGTCTCTTTCTGGCATCGCTCGACCGCGCTTGGGGTTTTCCGGAGTGGAAACTCGCGAACCAGGCGAATTGACCGTAGTAGGGTCTGGCGAGGTGCGACCAATGGTCGGCATCAGACGTGCACTCGCATGTTCGTGACTCACCCCTGTCCCAATGCTTGGAGCAATAGCCACTGGTTTACGAGGTGTCGATCCGGACCCGTGACGGAGATCTTATGGTCCTTGTCATAGGTGTCGCCAAGGTACCGCAGAATGGCATTGGACTCCCTGATGGATACGTCAATGCGACTCCTGCGCGCTTTTTACTTCATCCTCACCAAATGACGAAATTGCCGTTCTGTTGGTCGATGAGCGTCGGGATGCGCCTGTTACGGGCGGTCAGTCAATGATACCGATTCGTCCCAGTTTGTAGTACGAATCCGTTCGGATTGAGTTTGAGGTGTCCCTCGAATTTCTGCTGAACTCGAGGTCGTACTCGTACGACAAGCCTAAGAGGTTCAAGACGAGTACCATCTTCCTACATGACGAGTAATGGCGTTAGGGACGGACACCACACGAGTGTGATCAGCTTGCACCATCCGTTTGGCGCGAACTGGTGGGTCCAAAGGGTGACGTCTTTGCCTGGCATGATTGGAGAACAGGTGACCAGCGGACAACGATGTGTGCTCCGGGTGACGATGTGGTTCTGCTGATTTTGTAACCCATTTGTAGCGAGGCGCAGCGCTTACTGGCTCGTGCTCGTGCTTATCTCGCATGAGAGAACCCCGAATCTTGAAAGACGGTGAGCCCACTGCAAGAATGCAGGGTACGGTGCTTGCTCATCGAGATGAACCGGAGGTGATCGAAGCATTGTCATCTTACGTCGCCACCCCATAACAGCCTGTGAAGACATCGACGAAGGAAGCAGGCAGATATATTGTAGCCTACGTACACATGAGTACCGCTCCTCTGCCAATAACATGAGCTACGTGACTTGGTCCATCAGTCAATGTCGATGCTGCATTTGGTAAGCTGAAAACGTCCGTCAACGAGACGCTGTCGAGCAGGGGTAGGTCGACTCGCTACACACCATTCATATAGCTGGTTAATTGTGGATGACGATGTGGGTTTGGCTGTGGGTCTCAATGCCTGGGTAAGCATCCGGTAACAGCCCTGCTTCGTATCACATCAAAGTCCAGCGTGAGGAGAATGCGCACGGCACAAGTGGTACACACCTATATAGTCTCCTATAACCCGGTATAAGTACGCCCGACGCCAGTGTCAAGATCTAGATAGGTGTTGCAGGGAATTTGTAACGGGAGGACCGTTACAGAAATAGTTGGCCGCCTCAAGGTGTTCGTTCAGGAAAACGTGTTCATGCAATTCTCCGTCCACCATCGCCAGCTTTGCTGTCGTCATGAAATCTCCGAGGCTGCAGCTGGATCCAAATGTTGCAAGTACGACGGATGTTGGACTGAGGGAATAGTCAAAAAATTCCTAGCATGTGCCATTCGCTCGTCAAACGGCATTCAATGATATTCTGCTCACCATGATTCGATTGCTTGGTGTCATCCTTTCGTCTCTAGAATTATAGGAGCACATGCAAGAGTTATACAAAACAGTTTGTTGATCCGTTGTACGGGTCCGTGGCGGCAATGGAGAAGGCGCATCATCTGCCATGCATTTGACATTTGTCCTCGTACCTCAACGAGCTCAAGGCTTGTTCAACCCCTCACTCTGAGGTTCTTGCCCTCTGGTACGGCAGACAGGCTACCTTTTGTCTTTGATTCGCATTCGTACGGCCGGTACACCGGCATGGCATCTACCTCTGGCACCTCGAACACCGTTGGCGTGCGGCGCTCTGGCCGAACCGTCCGCGCGCCCAAACGCGACTTGGAGGACACTCTCTCCTCCACGTCCGCCAAGGACGCCAACAATGCGAGCACCAGCACCTCGCGCACACCCCGCAAGCTCAAGCGACCCAAATTCGAGTCGGACGAGGACTACCTCGCGGACTTACTCTCAAACCCGAAAAGCCCGCTGACCACGATGGACATACGCGTCAGTAGTCAGTCCACGTCTCGTAATCCTCGCATGCCTCGATCGACGTCTTACGGTATCATCATTTGAAACGCGCAGGAACTATTGAACGCGGAAAATTGGTGCAAGTTGTCCGACGAGTCGCGCGCGCAACTGGCGCCGCTGCTGCCCCCTACCGCGTTTAGAGATTTCGTCCCATCCCTGCACCCTCTTCATCCCGCGCGCAAGACTCAAATCGAACGCCAACGTCAACGACAACAGGAGCTGGAAGCTGGCCCGTCAACTGGTGCCAGCATATCGTCCGCCGCCATCACCGAGCAAGACCCTGTCCCAACGTCGTCAAAGGCGCCAGATCTACTCGACCCAACGGTTTTTTCCGAACCCAACTTTGTCGCGGCCGCGCTCACCTTCCAGGACCACCTCTACTCGGGCTACATGACCGAGGCACACAAGGCGAAGGTCGAACGGTACAAGCGCGGGCTTGTAGACGGGACGCTGCATGCGCCGTGGAAAGACGAAGTGTGGGAGCAGGAGCACGCCCTTACGGCGGAGGTTTCCGATCGTGCAGGGTCAGTGTTGCTTTCGGGCTCACGCTTGCGTGCGAGGACTGGGGGGCGGTGACTGACGGTGGTCGGTCGGTTGTAGAGACGCCGCCGAGCTGAAGCTCGTGGACCTTGCCAAGCACGAGGTGATCCAAGTAGGCGATATCCTAGCGTATTCGCGGCGCTTCCCCAACCTCGATGTTATGGTCGAAAAGGATCTTCTGGTGAGCGCCCATCTTCCCTAAAGCGCATCGTGTTATGGGAAACTTTCTAAACGCAACATAGGTCGAAGGCATCCACCCGAAGAACTACTCCCTCACTCTCGCCTTCACCACCGGACGGGAGAAAGACCTTCCGATGTCCATGCTCCCTCGCGAACCGCAGCCAACTGGCTCCACCTGCTCCGTCACCGTCACCAACCCGAGCATGCTCGAGAACGCGGTGCTCGATTCGGATGGGCGCGTGCCGAAGAACATGCGCCCCAGCGGGAACGCGTGGAAAACCTTCACGCTGCATCGCTGGCGCCAGGACTTTGAGATGGAGGTGGGCGAGGACATGATGTGGACGCTTCCGCGGGGTGGGAGGGAGAGCCACGGGACGTTGTTTTATCTGCGGGGGTCTCTCTACCACGATATGTGATTTCTGATTATGCGTCTTGTATCTTTTTATGCTCAGCCTGAGCTAACTTGTATCATATGCTATCGGCGTACTCCCTTTGGCTCTCTAGGTCGCTCGACCGCGCCGATTTGTGAGCGCGATGATCTACTCGAGCAGATGCATGGATGATCCCTTGCATTCTCCACAAGGGGATCGATTCCCTCAAGCCTGAGATTCGCTCGAACAACCGCTACTCCATCATTATGGCTATCGTGGTGGTAGCTACATGGCATCTACTTCACGGGTCAGATCCCTATATGAATGTACGGCGCCCATCGACTGGGGTTCGGGTGGGACTCGCGAAGCTTCTGTACCGCTCGGTCCAACGCATATGGAATGTCGTCCGCGTTAAGGTACTCTGACGAACCGCCGAATAGGTCCTCGTACACGGATCTCGCAATGAAGGGACCGTCAGCATCTTCCATCGACCTAGTGCGCATGCGTAACAGAGTGACTCTCGCTCGCGTGATGGAGCGACTGACGACTGCTTACCAGAGGGTAGCGATTACGCTCTTAAACCCGGCAAACAGCAAAGTCGCAGCGAGATGGACTGTCTGGTCGGGTTGATTCTGCAGGGATGTACGGGTGAGCATCGATTCTATGAAATCGTTGGAATAAGCCTGACCTTGTCTCCCTTCGCGGTTTCACAGGCGCTCAGGAACGCCATGAAGGCGTGCGGGAGTGAAATTGGCATTAGCTTCTCTATCGTCACCATCTCGTCCCGCATCACAAATCCGCTCTTGAGCGCGTCCTCTCGGTTCTGGTGACCGTGGCACGCAAGGTGCAGGATGGTTGCCTGAGGTAGCTTCTCAAGAAGTGTTTGCGCAGACATCCCACCTTTCTCGGATGCTAGAGCATCGTCCGCCGGCGGAATTGCCATCAGCGCGCGTTCTGGTATTACACTCCGGATCGTGCCGAGTTCCTCCCGCGTACAAACGAGGTCCCGCCACTCTGGCCTGTATGGCGAGGGAACCGCTGCCACCAGTGCCTGGATATCCTGCTTCTTCGGGGATATATGCGCCGACCTCGCTGTGATTAGGGCGCCGAGTGTTGGTGTATACGAGGAAACGACGTAATCTGAGCACCATTCTCCTTCAATACCCGCAGCATGGACCGGGAGGTGCACGAACGGCCCAGTGGGGCACCACCATATACGAGTGCGTCCCCTATCCGTGTTCCTCTACACGACCCATACGGTGAGTAAAAGTTGCTTGACAGGAATACGAATTCCCTTACCTCAAGTCCTAATGCACGTAGCACAGGATGCACTACATCAAGCCACAATCGGCGCAAAATCTCGGCAGCCTCTAAATTTTGGTTGTTATGCCTAATCTTCACTTTGGATATCTTCATGCGATCCCTCAAAGATTCCTCCGTTGTGGCTGAACGCCATGCCGTACCCGACTCAGTGAGCCATGGCTCGGTGATGTGCTCTAGGGGAATGCTGATGGCCTCGCCCGATGGTTTGATGACCACAGCATGACAACCCAATGTACTCGAGACAAGGATGATAACCGGACCTCGTTCTGCTGCTTTTGCTAGCAACGCATACTGATCGTGGAGCAGAAAACGCTCGAGACCTGCTATCCCGCGGACCTCCTGCAGCAGCGAATCAAACTGTTCGCTCTGTTGTCTCCTTCTGGTGACTTCTACCTCCATGGCCCGTGAGTCCTTGCTTTGAGAGGCGTCGGTGACCCGCTCGAGTTGACGGGTTAGCGTTGACAGCTGGATCCGTAGCTGTTCAGGGATACAGTCGAAGGGAGTACGCAGGCGTAGCGTATTGGTCCAGAAGACTGCTCGGCCTTGTTCGAGAATTTCCACCGCTTTCTGTGGAAGCGACATGTTGAGTGCATGGGATGCGCCTGCTAGGGCGAGATTCTGACCGGAGCTCAATTGGTCCAACCGAGACTTAGGATGCAGACCCAGGAACGCAACTCGAGGTAGAAGTCCTACCACATCTGAACAGATGTCTAGAAGGGTTGATCGTGTTGAGACAGCGGTGGTAGTAAGCTTGATGTCGTCATAGTGCGGCCGCATATTATCATTGAGGACATGAGCAATGCATCGAACCCGCGAGCGCACGTCCTTGTGTTTGTCCGATAGGGCCGCTGTAAGATGCTCAAGCGAGAGGGAAGGGTTGCAATACGGTGCATCGTGCTCCATGAATAGCACTGCAGCCTCGATGTGGCACTGAAACCGCTCCGGATGACTTGGCTCTAGGATATTCAGTCTGCTGGTGATAATGTTCAGTGCATGAATCGCATCGTGAACGTCGTGTTTCATGTGGAATCTGGCCAAATACGACATTGCCAGCGTGAGGTGCCATTCGGTCTGGTAATCCCTTCTACGTGACAGGACCTCGGTAACGGACTCTAATTCTAGGATTGCCTGATCGATATCCGCAATGGATTGTTGCTGTTCGCCACGAAGTAAAAGTGTCCTGGAAAACAGATGCACTACTGTAGGCCGGTTTCCATGCGCGGGAGACAGGGATGAAAGAAGCCCGCTTGCTCCAAGTCCTCCGTTGTGCCAAAGTGTTCAAATCGTGTGCACAGGTGTGATACTGCCATGCTTGCGATGTCAAAATACTGAGCTTGTGACGGTGATACTGCTGCTAATGCGCATTGATCCCATTTCAACGCTTCGGCAAGATCGGAAAAATCTCCCGTTTCAGCAAAGCGCAAACTTAACGAGTCGGCCAGGCAAGATGCGGGAATATACTGCCGGTAATCACCATGAGGAATGCTATCTGCCGCCTTGCGACCGAGCTGAACTGCTTCTTCGAGGTCACTGATTTCACCCTGCCAATAAAACCGCATACGAAGACCATTGGCAAGACTAGCAAAGGACTGCCAGTGGTCCGAGGAGATTGGGGGTGATAACAACACAGCTTCACGTTTGAGCTTGATAGCCTCTTCAAGGTCGCGTCCCTCCGAGTGAGTGAGCTGATGGCGGAGGTCTAACAGTCCAGCCACCGCATGGAGAATATTGAACAGTGGATGAACGTTGAGACGGGCAATATCAAGAGCCTTCTGTCCAATATAGATAGCTTTGTCAAGATCTTCCAGCGCCCCTGAGTGGTATACTTTCAAGGCCAATGCACGGAGAACATAAGGGACGAGCTTCGCTCTGTCGATGTGCGTTGACGGGCATAATGAAAGGGCTTCCTCTAGAATAAGGATAGCCTCTTCCAAATTGTGGAAATTGCCGATTCACTCATATTGGCGATTATAATATCGGCCTAGACACTGCAGATGTCTGTGTTTAGGCTCAAGGATGTCATATGGGAGTACCATCTCTTCCAATGCTTGCTGCTGCAGCCTCACAGCCTCTTCAATGTATGCTGATGTCCCCATTGTGTGATAAAATCCATAGCTAATCCATGCACATATACGATGTGCTGTGGGCCGCAAGGGGTGTCCCACCGCGCAGAGTGTCATAGCTTCTCGGCATAGTGAGTCTGCAGCTCTCCTTGTCTCAGAGCAATTGGTCTGATCCGAGTAAGCGTCAAGGACCTCCGAGTAGAGCGCAAGTACTCTGGGGCAGACGGTCCCGTCCATGCGGCAAAGTGACAGCGCTTCTTGACCATACTCGAGAGCATCTTCCAAGTCACGAATTCCTTCGACAAATTTGTACCGCTCCACGAGGATATGTACCAATTGAATGAGTACATGCCAATGTTGTTCGGGAGACGGTGAAGTCTTAGATCCTGTGCAAGGGCAAGGGTCAGAGGTGAAGGTCGGCTCTGTTTGGTCAGCAGCTGTGATGCTTGACAAGAGCGTTCGGAAAATCTGGATCGACCTCTGGGAGGCTTCAAGGTCGCTCTGCTGGCAGAACTGTTGGTGGAGTTCACGCGCCTCCAAGAAGAGGTCGTTCGCAGGTTCGAGAGGTGCTATTATGGCAGAAAATGAACATCGTCTCTCTACTGCAGTGTAGACGCCATACCTGCTGCGCATGGGCAGACACGACGGGTATCCGTGATTGTAAGGGCTTTAAAATCCTGCATAAGGCGCCCGTGGTCGAGGTTGCAGTTCGTACTTGAACACACTATTATTCCGAAGGATGAGCAAAGGATGAGCGAAGCATGGGCTGAAGATGAGTTACAGGAGATAGAGGATGTACCACCAGCCACAGACACGTCTTTCGGCGTTGGTATATTTGCCATCGCAAGGGTAGGCAGGTAGCTTGGGAGAAGCTGCCGGTGGGACTGTATGACAACTTATATAAGCCACACCCGTAGACACCTCGGAGGCGGGAGGGTACTGGTACTTCATTCCGGCGCTGCGAGATGCTATCTCCGCAAGCCCGGTACTACATGCTTCGCAGACGGTTGATGAAGAGCGCAGAGCTTATTGGAGCGCAGAGCTTATTGGAGCGCATCGCCCGGGCCAACAATATCGCCAGCCATCGCATTGAAAAATAAGACCAATCCATAGGAAATAGCTCTTGCACGATATCGTAGTATGGGGCGTGTGGGACTGGATTGAGATGTGGGATCCGGTACACGTCCATTGGAAGCGAAGTTTTTCGATGGTTACGTGGCTCAAGTGAGGTGGGGGAATGCGATATACCGCGATATGCAGTTCTTGACACGAGGGATCAGGATCGAGCGCGCGGATTGTTTGAGACCGGTTGGACACATGCCATGGCTCAATGATCAGACAAATCTATGCTCATCGAGCTTGCAGTTTTAGGCTCTCAGGAGGAGCAGCAAGGTCGGCTAGGTAGAGCTGGAGTTGAATCCGCACGGCAGAACAGTTTCAGATGATCATGGTTGCAAATGGAGGCATAGACAGTCGTCGTGCGCGAAGTTTGTGTGTAGAATCCGTCAGATATGAATGATGAATTGGCCAAAGCGCCGTATAAACCGGGTACAGGATCCGGAGACGCGAACGACAGGGATGTACAACCGTTTCCGAAAAGGTTGAGCGCAGCGCGAAAAACACAGGTAGGGGCCTGAAGAGGTCAGGACTCTGGGGTAGGACAGATAGTACGATACACCTGGAGTAGGGTATACAGTACGATACACATTCATGTAATTATGCACACTCTGGTCGAAGCGGTGTGTTGGCTCATAGAGCGGACGGGAACCGTGTAGACCAGGGTGTCCCGGCTCGCCACTAGTGCGAGGCCCTGGGGCCCGGCTGTTCCGGTATTGGGACCGCGCCGGTTAATACTACCTACCTACTACCTACCAGACTTGTAAACCCGGACGCCACCTTCGTTCGACCTTGAAGTTGATCAGAGTTGAGCGCTGAGCGCATCTTCGCCTCAGGCTTCCACAACATCTATTCTCGCATACCTGAGATGCCGCTCGCAAAGTTACAAGTGATCGCAATAACAACCGACGCGCCTATAGTCGTTCTATAGTCGTGTTCGGAACGGCTTGCAGCTGCGTCGAACAGAACACCTACCTCGACACCCCTCCAACACACACATCACATCCTTATCGCAACCGCCCTACGCCTCGCATATTTCGCTAGCAAACCCAACTCGTTCAAGACCTACTTAGCCGACCAAGCATGCGGATGGGGCGTTGCTCGCGTTCTTAGCTCTGTCTCGCATCCTGAGCCCCATCGGAAAGCTCCATCGTGACGGCGCGCTCGAATGCGCGGGGGAGGCGGTTGTAGTAATTGGTCGAGATGGCTGTATGGGGCACGTTCTTCGGATGTTTCTCGAGTGCTGCACTGGCGGAACGTCTGATGCTCCTGAACGGACACGCGGTCGAGATGGGTTACCAGAGCAGCGCATCCAGTTTTGGAAAGCATCCGTGTTGGTTACGACGAGCTTGACGGTCCACGTGGATGTAGAGAGCCGAAGGCGAGGCTGAAGCTGAGGAGATGGCTATGATGTTTCGCTCTCGGGTGAGTGCTACATACTTATATACCGTACGGACTGCGTGGAGCCGCTGACCAGTACACCGTTTTCGGGTGTCTTCCTTCTCACAATGGGCCTGCCGTGCGCCTCGTAGATCAGATATGGATGTCGCTTCCGACGAAGGTGTGTGTTGTTGTTGCCATTTCTTTGAATCATGAGCGAACTGAGACGTGTCGGTCCCAGTCGCTGGAGCCGGGCGCACGGATATACGTCGTATATGTTGGTAGCCTTCCCGGAGTGTCGCTATTTGCGGTGTACATGACAAGCATATACTTCCGGACGCCTGGGGAGGAGACCGGCGATCTAGGTGAGCATTCAGCTGGCCCCTTTATTATCTCATCCGGAGACCAATCTCTCGTTTCCCTTAGCGGTGGCCTTGGTGAGCTTCTTCGCCTGCCTGGTCCAAGCCTGCAAGGTTCTTGGGGCATATCGAGTCCTCCCTCCGTCGCACACCCTCATCGGTGCCAGTCCATGCTATGAGATGAAAACCATTGGTTGCAACAGTGCCGCAACACACGTACTGTTTCATCGTGCGATACACCCGCGATGGAAGATGGTCATGCCGTACGTTTCCATAGTCAAATCGTGCGTCTTTTGTCTCAACGACACGTATCACTTAGGGCATCGTAGATAACAAGCAGTGTTTGTTGTTCAGTACTCGGTCCTTCTTCCTCGTATGCGCCTCCTCGATTCGTCCTACAAACTTCTCCACATCGCTCCAGGGTAGACTCGACCCCGCTCTTGCGTCCCTGCTCGATTACTCTATTCGGTCTGAGAAGTCAACGTTTCAACGCTCTCACACATGGACACGCCGTGTGGGCCGATGCCCGAAAAGTTGTCAGGAGAGCGCGCACTGGCCCGCCCGAGTTGACCACGAAGGTGAGTGTCGACCGTTATCTCTATCCTTCCTTCTTGCGAATTTCTGATTACGCCCTCCATAGACGCGCTCTATCAGATCAGTAAGAAGTATCCCGGGCGCCTCAACGACACAAAGTTGGCGCGTGCCGAACCCGCCCTTCATCCGCCAGCCCTGATGCTCACTCGTTCCCGAATCTCTGATCTTCGTGCGACAATTTCCTTGGGACGACGTCGGAACAGGAACCACCTTCGAGCGGGGCGGGCCACTCGCGGTTCTTCGATACATTACACGCCTTCTCTGCGCATCGACGCGCCTTTCCATCGAGGGATCGACCCGCGCCTCGGCACCATCCCGGATAGAGGCCGAGCTACGAGCTGAACCAGCAGCGACGCGGAAGTGTGCGCGATTCTGCCTTCCGTCGCTGCTTCCTCGCGTCGCGTCCCGGCGCAAATCGGGCCGCGGCGGGGAGCGCGGCTACGTCCCGAGATCTGGTCGCCGGATCCTATCTGGCGACGGCGTTCTACGTACCTCGGTGGCATGTGGGAGAGATGTCGGTCGGGAACCCGGGCTGTCAGTACGCATGTGCCGCGTAGGCGTTTACACGGCACGTTTGTATGTATGCGGCATGGTCACCCCGGAATTACTACTGGAGTACTTAGCTCGAACACCAGAGAGAAAGAAAGATCTGCACGCGATCGTCCGAGCGATGAGACAAGGCGGAGGTGCGGTTGCCCTACGCATACCTGGGTCCTTAGGCCTTGGGCGACATCCTCAACCCGAACCCACAATGCAGCGCTTTTCGAGTGAAGACACATGGGCGTCCGCGCTACTCCCAACTAGCACGGAACCCCCATCGTCTTCTCTGCTGCTCGCGAGCATGCTGCCTATGCTGCGCGCAAGTCCCGGGTTGGGCAAGCTCATTTCTGATTTCTAGGCGGAAGGCTACGAACTCGGGAGTATCAACAGCTCGTGGCGGAAACGTCATTGCTTGAATGGTTTCATTCCGCGGAGATTGGCCGGCGTAAGGAGCTTTCGCTTTTTTCAAGTTGGCCCACGACGTCACGACCGGTTCCGCAAACGTGTAGGTCGCCGGACGACGCACGTACATACGTATACGCTCACGGGCCGCCAGCGACGCCACCACCACCACCACCACCAAACCGCTGCACTCTTAATTTTCAATCTCCCGGGTTGAGTCAAGGGCTCGGCTTGGACACCGCGCGGGGGCAACGCACCTTCCCGGCTTCGTCCGTAGATTGGGCTCATTGCGCGCGCTATCCCGTCATTTTTCCGATCTGTCCGAGCGCGGCCCCATACCTGTGCAGGAGGGCCTTGGGGCGAGTCTTGTCAATGTATGCCGAGAAACCAAGCACACGCGTCCATGCCGGGCGTGCATTTCCGAAAAAAAAAAAAAATCCCCCCTCAGCGTCGCGAAGCGGGTCGCTTTGACGCCGTCGATACATTAGACCCTTTTGAATCCCGCAATCGGCACACGCAGGAGGTCGACACGCTCCCACCAGCAAACTCTCCCCCCCCTTGTTCGTCTCCGGCGTTTTGATGTTAACAGCTGGGGCTCAGATCTGACCAGCGACGATCCTTTAGCGCTTTTTCCAAGGGCAAAAATGCACCGAGCTGAGCCACCGGACGCAAAAAAGGTAAATAAAAAAAGATCCGCGGGAAGTCGCGAAGACACACGTCGAACGAACGTCTCCGCTGTGCAAACCTCTTCGCGACTCGGCGCCGCAAATCGGCGGTCGGCGGAGGGCGGCGGCGGGGGTCGAGGTCGGTCGCGCGCAACGAACTTGCGGTTCCCAGATCGCCCCCTGTCGTTCCTCCATCTATCTCGTTGATCCCGTTTGACCGTAAGCGGGTGCTGCCGTCGCCATTGATACCCCAGAGGCCGAGATCGCTGCAGCTCGGGATCGACTTGGTATGGAGTGTTATTGGCGCACTATATCGGGTTCTCGCTTCATCGCGCGCGCCACATATGTACATGAAATACATGAAATGGTAATAGCTACCGTTGCGCGTGGCGTCGTTTTTTTAGCGCCCGAACATGCTTTGTTTCGTGCCTGCGTATATAGCGTTTGGTGACGCGTAACGCCGAGCGCCATGTGTGGTGAGCTGGCTCAAAGTCAACTAGTCATGCGTCTGTCAGTCAGCCAGCCAGCCCGGGACCCCCACCCTCTCGGCGTCTATAAGCTATAGCAGCAGCACAGGTCGAAAAAACAGACAACCTTCCCCGGCGCGAAACTTTCCCCTCGGTACGTCAAACCGTCCGTCATGCTTCCCGCTTCTTTTCAATATACCCTTTTCCGGGGGCGCAGCGGTCGTTCAAAAAGCGGCGGTAAAGCCACGCTCGGGCTCTCCCGGGGGGCTCGGCGGTCCACTCCTCCCGGGTGGCCGTGCACCACTGAAACAAAAACAAATCCACTTGACAGGCTGAAGCGGAAGGAAAAAAAAAACATCTTCTTGGCTATGGAAGGGAAAGATCATATGATGGGATCGTCGTCGTGCGCGGCCGATACGAGCGCGGCGTCGCGCTTGCTTACCCGGCGTTCGGTTCTCTGCGTGTTCCAACAAACGGGAGGTGGGGGGGGGGGGGAAAAAAATCCA